ATTTCTGCTCACTGACACGATGAACTGGTTGAAAATTTATGAACATCGTTTCGGTTCGTGAGTGTCTTAAAGGAAGCGCGCAACCACCCCTCGTGAATTACAGTAGGTCGGCTAACTCTGGTGGTTGAGTATTGATCCGACTTCGGTGCTGTGATATATGTAGAAGTCGGCGTCAGATTTAACAGATATATGAGTGTTCTTTCTGCTCATATTTCACACAAGCGGCAACATGATTAGCGCGTTAGAAATCGATGTAAATGTTGAATAGTAAAGGTGAAAGCACAGAGCTTTGCAACACGCCCATGTCGTTTATCGAAAGAGTAGATTTTTGTTTACCGACTTTGGCATAATGGAGCTCATCCGACAATTAATCGCGGAGTCACGACAGAAGTCTATGAACGTGAGAGTAGATACGGAGTTGTCTCAGGAGTGTTGAAAGCTATTGTAAAGTCGAAGACAGTTGAACCGCAGATTCACCATCTTCCATAGTTCGATCGACTGTGTGTGTCTAAAAGCAGCGTAGTGACTTCAGTTGTTGCTCTACTACTCTTGTATGCTAATTAGGACATGTCAAGTCGACGTCAAATGTCGTCTGAGATATCTGTGCATATAATGTGTTCAGTAGCTTGCAGTGGTACTAGTGAAGGCGTTGCGATTGGGCCGTGGAATTCAGGAGAACTACGAAAGATTTGATCCACGAGATTGACTCTACCGAGCCGCCACGGATGAGGAATATGCCCAATACTTAGCATTTAATTATAAATAATTCTGAGCAGTTTATTCCTGCGCAATATTAGTTGAACATCGAAAGCGGGGCCCCATTCTGAGCCCCATTCTGACCTGGTGTGACATCACATAGTAGAAGGAAGAAGGTTCCGCGAACGTGATCTTCGGTAAATTACTCAGGGTGTTCATTTTGTATGCTGTTGATTTTGGACAGCAGACAGGGCAGTGATTGCATGAGATACTTCGAAAGATGACGTTACGTTGCATCTGGCTTCATTTTTCAGAAACTAAGGATTCAGAACAAACGTCTGGATCGAGTAATTGAATACATTCTTAGAAAAATTAGCTGATAAGTGCGAAAGCCACATCTGACTGATTAGTTTTAAGTTCATATATCCGAACTTTTCTTTTCTGAATCTAACTCATACGCATTGTTCTGTTTGGCGTTTCATGATGTTCTGTATTTTTAGATTATTTATTGTCACCGGTTGAAAGACAGCTGATCACGAGCCTGATGCATCGACGTAGAAAGCGTAGGTTTTACGAAGAACTTTTAAAAAAGGTAAGAAGTTGACGCGGTTCTGCGAAAAAAAATTTATCTTCCTAGTGATATTATTATTAGTGAGTAATTTGCATCAGTTTTTTTTTATTAAGGCCGAATCACTGTTTATCATAAAGTGCAAAGACCTGAACACAGGCAGCGACGATGAATTGACAAAATGTTAGTGCACATATTTCGTAAATGTTTCTCCTTTCTTACGTACATATGAAATTTTAGGGCGTAAGGTAGAAGACATCGCTGCATCAGTTCAGTGCGACGGTTCTCGGATATCGATGGAAATTTTCAAAAAGCTGTTGCTGAATTCGAGGTTGTTGGAGAAAAATGAAAATGGCACGTTATTCCGCCGAAATTCCAATTGTCCACCATGTAGAGCATGCACCATTTACGTGGTAAGTAAACCGACACTATTGACAACAGAAACCTACTTATGATGAGTAGAAAATCCCACTCTAGGCTACTTAAACACCGCAGATGCTGAGGAAACGTGAGACCGAAACTACGTTGTTTGTAAACCTCGGAAAGACACATTCAGTACGTGCGGTAAAAGGAAGGCGTTGAAACTAACGACTCTCGTTTTTCAGCCTCATGCGATCCTCTGCGACAGCCGTAGATTCTTCTGCTGAGCATGAAAACGTCGCGTTAATTCCTGAACATCGAAATGCGAACGTTAGAATTTGCATGAATGTTTTCAGCTTTTC